CCTCACTCGACTTCTCCGATACTAACTTAAGCATCGGAGCCCGTGTGGCCAAAGTCACACCGATCCTAGCGCTATTTTGTTTTGCAGGTTACGTCGATCCCTTTCATACTTAGAAGATTGGTACAAATTTGGCGAGATCTCAAGAGACCAAATTTCTGCATCAAACACTTTATCATTTGAGATACATACTCTCTAAAGCAAATTGATTTTAATTTACAATCACCTAAAATATTATAGGCATATGGTGGGAAGGCACTTAGGCTTTACTCTCTATAAAGAGAAGTTTAAAAAAAAAAAGGCAAGGAGTCAAAAGGTGAGTGCAAGGCCACCGCAACAAAGGGATAAAACTTGACTCATCATTAGTAAGGAACAACCTTGTCCTTACAACCATTGAATATTTGAGAACTCATTATATCTTAAAATAATTTTTTTGTTTTTGTATTTTTTTTCTTAGTTATCATATATTTAATGGTGGTAAGGATAAGATTATTCCTTATTAGTAAGGAGCCAAGTTTTATTCGCAACAGAAGATAAAGAAAAATAYAGTGAGAGAGCCGTCGGGAAATTCTCCAGAGGAGAGCTAAAATTTTCTGAGCTATATAAAGACACCAAAAAGACCTATTTTGTCGTCATCTACCGCGGTGAGGAGATGATTTTATATTTTCTAAAACTTATCTATTAGATTACAGGTGAAGGTATATTTTATGCCCATTTTTGTCGCCCAAAAATTGTGACCTTTCATCAATCCCCATAAATGGTATCAAAGTTGGGCAGTGGAATCACATTGTCAGGTCAATACCCACAAGTGGTATCAAAGTTGGGCAGTGGAATCACATTGTCAGGTCAATAAGGTGGTTGTCGTTTCTGTTGATACAAAATTATTGTTGTTGTGTTATAGGGTAAAATTTAGTGCAACATTGTCCTCCTCAGCCCGGACACATGTACCCATGTCTCTAAATACGAGGAGGATAGAGTTCAGCTAAGTTCTGACCAGGGAAAGATCTGGACTTCCTTGACATTTTTGTCGGGCAGCGATTCTCAGCACTCCCCTCAAGACAAAGTTCCACTCTCTCAAAGATATACTCAAATTAAGCTTGGTTCGATACCAGCTTGAACTAAGTACTAAAAATGAACGAAGTCGAGCCCACAAGTTGCTGACTTGTCAACCATTGTTGTTGTCATTGGATTAGTTGTATAGTCATGGAAGTGGACAGTAGGATGGTCATTTTCAACGGCTCAAATTGGCAACTATGGAAAAGAAGAAAGGAAGATCTTTATTGTAAAGAGATGCGTGCTCCTATTTTGGGCGAGTCAAGCAAACCAGAGAATATGAGCAAAGAAGATTGGGACTTATTGAACAGACAAGTTGTTGGGTATATTCGGCAGTGGGTGGATGACAGTGTGTATTACCATATCTCAAACGAGACATTGGCACACTCCTTGGGGAAGAAATTAGAAGAGTTGTATGAGAGAAACGCTTCGCATTATCTGGATCTAAAAAAGCATTATCTGGATCTAAAAAATCAACCAGGCAAGATATGTTATAAAATACGAGGGTACTACTACTTCAGTTGCAAATCATTTGAGTGAGATGCAAAGTATAATGAATCAGTTCTCATCGATGCAGATAGTTTTAGATGATGAGTTGCAGGCGTTGCTGCTTCTTAGTTCTTTGCCGGACAACTTGGTTACGGTAGTCGAATCACCAAATGATTACTCTTCTAGCGAGAAGTTGAGTACGATTATGGTTTACAGTAGTCTGTTAAACGTAGAAGTGATGAGGATAGCCTTGGGTTCTTTAGCCATGGAGTCGGATGTTCTGGTCAAGAAAAATCGAGGGAGGAATCAAAATCGAAAGGGTTGTAGTAGTGATCACGGTCGATCAGCAAGCAAGAACACTAGAGAGATTCAATGCTATTATTGCAGGAAGATGGGCCACAAGAAAGTTGAATGCAGAAAATGGATAAGTGAACAACAAAATGATGATTATTGATTAGAATGGAAAAAAGGACTGTTTAAATAAAGAGACGGATGATGAGGTGCAAGGCAACCATAATAGAGAGAAATATAGGGAGAGGGCCACTGTAAAGTTCTTGAGAAAAGAAAGAAGAAATTTTCAGGAATTCGTGAAAAGGCCACAACGTTAGAGAAATAAGTCATTTTTTCTAGCCGTCTAGGTCTACTACAATGAGATCATGCCATATTTTTCTAGGATCTGTTATACAAAGGTAAAAGGGTAATTTACCTGAAGTGTAGGCTAAAGTACAAAATTTATCCCTGAACTTTGCCCAGTTTTAAAAATACCCCTATTCTTTAAAAAATTTCAAAACTAGATCTTTGATAAAAGTTCCAAAAATACTTTTGAACAAACATCCGTTAATATTTGAACGAAAAAAAGAGAAGTAATGTGAAATCAACTATCATTTTTAAAAATGATAGAAGAAGTTGAGGATGAAAATAGAATGACGGATTGGCGGACTTTGAAGACGATAATTTCTTCCACATTTCCTCTCTTTACAAAATTAATCTAGGCAAACTTCCACGTTAATTGTTATGTCATATTTTAGTTCAAAACATTAAAGGGATGTTTGTTCAAAGAGCACTTTAGAAACAAAGAGTAGTATTGAAACTTTTGAAAGATATGGATAATTTTTTTTTAAATGACAACAATTTTGGATGTTTTTTTTTTTTTGGTAATTTAACCTTTTTATTATTGTGATTTCCTCTAATTATGACCGGTGAAATTTATTGTAATCCTATTATGTGATACTGGAAGTTTTTAAGAGATTGTCCTTACGTTGATGGGTTTTCCACATAAATTCAGTGTCTGTTTTCCTACATTTACTTGTATTGTATTCTTTGTTACAGATTGATATTTTTCAAGTGACCACACAGAATTAATCTATATAGTCATTAGGCCTAAAACTGTGACCCTTAAATCCCAACAACAGGCTCCAGACTATATAACATGTCTAATACAGTTCTGATTCTAAAAACTAATGAGAGAAGTCACTTACAGTCAGCAAGAAAATCCGATAATCCCAAAACAAATCCGATGTAGGATGTTGCAATCGCCAAAAGAGAGAATACTTCTACTATAGGCTGCATTAAGAAATAGTTGCTTCAAATAAGTCATCCGATAAAAGTGTTATAAAGTACATAAACTAAGCAGTCCAGAAACTTACTCCTACAGCTCCATTTGCTGATCTCAATTGCTGTAATGGGTCTATAATCTTATCCGATCCCATTTCAAGGCTTGAAATAGTGCCAAGAATGACACCATTCCAGACAAGAAATAGAACTAGAGGTATTGCAGTGCCAAGTACAATGGATGTCCTGAAAAAATAGCCAGTAGATGGTATCAAACAACTTTTGATTGTTTCAAAGATGACTGACAGAATACAAACACTTACAACCAAAACACAACTGATTATGGGATTCGGATAAAATCCGCTGTAGTTAAGAGAAAAATGGGATGCATTGAACCAAATGAATAACATCAGGAATTACAAATTCTATTGAAATTTTTGGTTCTAGACATGTCAAGTTAACAAAAAAATGATTTGAGGTAGTTTCATAGTTTATACACAGTTTACAAATGTTGCCAAACATGGAAAAGGAAATATTTGTCACCTTACTTTTGTCAGGTTTCCTTCCAGATTCGTACAGAGTACTGGCACCACGTTCTGAAAAAAA